AATCATGAAGTATAGAATGTATCAATTTAACAAAAAAATGAAATCGACTTAGTTCTAAAGAAGATGCAAGCTTTAGGTTCAAACGATATATTTATTGAGATTTGGAAAATTGATTGAGATGTTAGAGTAGTTTCTTTGTTGAATATTTTTAATGAAAAAATGAAGATTAGAAAGGCGACCAAATTATCAGAAAGAAAAAATTGATACAAAAATTTGAAGCAGTTCAAGATTGTGATAATTATAAGAGTTAACCTAGCATACACTTAGAAAAATTATGTAGGTATTAATCATCATTATCAGTCTTATCATGACTTACATGGATTTGAGGTGTTTAAATCCTCATTTTCATTTGTTGTTGCTGAGTGTTGGCTGAGGTGATAAACATATTCTACGCAAATCATTTCAAACCTCTATCAATATAATCCATGTATTTTCTAATTCTCTAACATTGATTTTATCAACTCATCTAATAGAAGCTTTTTCTAATTATTTGGCAGATATCCAAACAACCAAGTCTATTTTTCATCATATTAACTTCAGCTCATGTTACTCCAATATTTCCTCTAATAAAATTAGGTATTAATTTATTCTTCTTAATTTTATTGAACAAACATTACAATATTCGCATTGTCCCGACACTCAAATTAGATATTAAAATGATATTCATGCATTCCAACATTCAATTCCATACAACAAAATTAGCCTAGTTGTGAATTTATTAAATTTATATTTAATCCTCTATGATATCCTCTTATCACATATACTTCAAAAAGCACTTGTTCATTTTAGCTAGTAAGCCTTAACTCTAGAAGTTATATTTTATCTATATCTCCAAAATTTTTTTAAAGAGGAGTTTAGCGTTTTTAGAATTCAAGTGTTAAATGCAATATAAAGTAACTATAACATACTCTGAATGCTCAAATCTTTTTGGTTGATAGTAAAGTAAATACATGAAATTAGCTACAGGTATTTACTTGTAGGTAAGAAAAAAATATAGTTTAAGAAAAAAAGTACGGACTTGATGTTATCGGAAAGAATGTGTGATCGATGAGGAAACAGAATCCCTGCATGAGTGGTGAGATTACCAAGTGTGGAGGCACAGTCGGTCGAGCAGGATGAGCAGAAAGGTCACATGTGGCAAGATGCTAAGAAAGTTGTTGCATGAGGAAAGGCCATGATGTTGCAACCAGATGTCGTAGGGTTGGAGAGGTAGCATCACGTGATGCCAAAATCGTTGAGCATATTTGTTGTTATTGTGAAGAGAAATGCTCTCTAATTTTTGCAAAATAGCGTATTTGAAATTTACCCTAGTTGTTAAGAATTTTAAATACACCCAAAATGAACAAAAGAAAATTTTCAAATATCAACTCATTAAATTGAATTTATATTTCATACAACCAAACATCTAAATTTTTAAAACTCTTGCATCCTTTTATTTCACAATCAAAAAACTCCAAACCAAACAAACCCACAATTAATCTAAGAAACATAAAGCTATTACACCTAGATATCATCTTAACATTTAATATTGAATGATAATTATTAACATCAAGCGAACTAAAATTACATATCATATACTCAAAATAATTCCATTAAATATAAGACGCCTATCTTTTAAAAATTTCCTCCACCAATCAAAGTTTTCATTAATTTCAATGGTTGTCAAATCAATTATAACTATATTATTATTAAGGCACTGCACTTTGAATATACTTTACAAGCATCTGCATAACCAATACAAAAACATATGAACACACTATCAAACCTTGATGTAAATCTAAGATCATTGCAAGCTCATGGATCACTCTATAATTGCTTCTAATACAATATCTCACTGTGTATTTTTAATAATTACAACATAGTTTTGAACTAGAAATTTATGCCTTCAAGCATATCAATTCAATTATCATGGTATTTAAACATATGCATCATCAAATTCAATAAAAATTCTTATGAAAACCCGTAATTTGTTTGATTATATATATATATATATATGTGTGTGTGTGTGTGTGTGTGTGTGTGTGTGTGTGTGTGTGTGTGTGTGTAGACACACACCCACACCCATCAAATTCAATAAAAATTCTTATGAAAACCCGTAATTTGTTTGATATAACTTTTCATTAACTATCTTAGCGCAAAAATCAAATTGGTTCTCCCATAGCTTGATTATACAAAAATTAACTATCTTAGCACAGTATATAAAGTCATAGCTTCTGCATTATACAATATCTTCTTTGGAGGTCTTCTAACTTTTTATAATGATTAGAAGCCTCAATAAAATAAAACTTACTTTTTTTCTTTAATGACCATTTGTATATCTTCGCTTGATTACAAAATTTCTTTATTAGTGTACAATTTATTTATCCTAAATCAGGTTTGGCTAAACAAAAGGATTCAAATTTGACTCTCTTGGCCACCTATCCTGAAAGATTAACAAATTCTTACATTTTAAACTCCACCACCTCATCCAAAGACCATAATTTATTTTTATTGTTTTCTTTATAATACCATGATATATATCCATAACTTCTACCTTCTGTTGTAAAGTCAAGTTTTCTCTTAAAATCATCTTAATAATCCTTACAAGGAAATCTTTTGTGACTTTAATTATTTTCTTAAATATATAATTTAAGACAATAGAAAAAAATCTCTTTATCAAATGCTTTTCTATTTTCTTAAATTATGTATTTATTATTGTAAAATTATACACAATCGTAAAATCAAGTATGGCCTTTCAAATTGAGATTTGATCTCCTATACCATAGGTACTCCCTTATAGCCCGTGCTATGGGAACATGTATGCCCAACAAAATCATCTCTGTGGCTATAGCTTTCTTCAAATGATAAAAGTTAGGATGATTTTCATCTATTTATTCTCAAAATTTACTTTTCAAAATTATCTTCTAATCCAGCTTGAGAGGCATCAACATGGTTAGGGGCTCAGACAAAGGGCTAATCTAATAATAGCTAAAAGAATGCAAAATCTTCCACAATCAAGGAGGCTTGAGATGAGGTGGACATCTAGTGTGCTTTTTGTGTGACAGCAAAATCTTGTGTGGATCTATAAAGGTTCTTAGGATGAGGTTGAGTCTACTCGTGGAAGGAGTTGTTAGCAGATCTGTACATGGCAAAGGAATACAACGACAATATGCCTGTGGAAGGAATGTGTGGATTGATGACATTGATTGAGGACAATGATTATCGGATCTGGAATTGCTGATGGTGGAAACACATTTTAAATGAGGTTAGCAGTGAAAATTAGAAAAAAAAACACAATGTGATGGATGTTATTGGCATTTCTCAATACAAAAAAGGAGCAATGGGAGCACTAATGTTTAGATCATGGAACCTAATTTAAGCAGTTCAAGCTACTCAATCGCTCCAAAAAAATTAAGAAATAAAGATAAAAGATAAAATGGTAAAAAGCCAATTCATATTCTCATATCATAATCCTCCCTAACTAGTTGTATTTATAGCATACAATGTTAATTCATGCTTGTTAACTAAGCATCCTCATCAACATCAAGTTCAACCATCTCATTTCTAATTAACTCATTTCTAATCAACCAATAGCTACATAACTAGACTCACAACAAATGCCTCCAAAAATTTTAAATCCAGTATGAGATTATTTTGAGATTTTAATTTTGTGTTTATTTCACGATTATCAATTATTAACGAGGTCCAACCCAAGTAAAGAAATGGAAGTAAAGATGATGATAAGATATTAACAGAAATTTGAATGGGGTTAGAGGTTATTACCATAATCTTACAAATTTCAACATCTAACTATCTTTTTTATAACACCAAAATAACTACTACGCATATTTTTCTTCGACAAAAACATCAAAGTCATACATACACAATATATTTGCATGCAAGTTCAAGTGTATTCTTTATCATTTCAGCTCCATATAAATATTGTGATTAGAGGATATTTCAACCTTAGAACAGTGTTTAATCCAAATATTTTCACAAATAACCAGTTCTAAGTTGTCTGATAGTTTTCCATTGAGTGTTCTCCTTTAATCTCTGTCTACTTTAGTCGCCAACTAAAGTAATTGAGATGCTTCTTTGTAACATTTAAGAGTTAACATCCACAGCCAAGTTTCAGTTCAAACATTTTGACTACAATACCCCATATTAATGAAGTGAATCGCAACAGCCAGCCTTCATATTAAAATAACAATTTGCAAATGAAAGGTACAATAATGGAATTCAAAAAAATTCGCGCATCATATTGGATCATCTTCAGCTTCACAACAAGCTCAAATTCAACATAGTTTATAAGCTTGCTTATTTAACAGGCCATGCACGAACAAGATTTATTTGATTTTATTTGGCTAGATAGTAGCATGACTGCATTTATATGAATAGTTTGAGTGAATATATGTGCATTTTATATATAGATTGTCTACACTAAACATCCATACATTTATTTTTGTAAGCATGTGCACGCGCGCGTGCATATATCATGACATGCATATTTTATTATTTCATATGACTTTTAAGTAGATTTTATATTCATGAAGAGCTCATGCTTGTCTGATAAGTAAATGAGTCGAACAAAAACAACAGGGAAATTTTCATGCCTAGCAAACAATTCTTCAGTGTTTACATATCTCACACCTAAACTTCCATATTTACATACATAGCACTTCGGTGCTTTAAACCTATGCATTAAAAGGAGTATTTGACTATTAGAATGTGGTTATAGTGCTATTTTTTATGTGATATTCAAGATTTGAGTGCTCTGTGTGTAAACATGAAACTTCAGCTGTGAGAAATATAAATACATTAGAATTGTGTGCTAAAAAAAAAATAAACTGGTTTATTTGCTCAGCAAGACGAGCTGAACACTTGAGCTCTTACATAAACTCAACTCATTTAAAACTTAGCTACAATTGGCATTCTAATGGCTCCCCATGAGATCAGCAAAAAGCCCAATGTTAAGACTTTTTTCAGCAAACTCTTAACAAACATGGCATAAAAAACCTCACCTTGAGAAACCCAGCTCCAGCAGGAACTGTGAACGGCTATGTTCGATATCAGACGGGCCGACGCGGTGGCGCTATGGAAAGGCCTCAGTGACACCAGACCTCCCAAAGCCGATGCGAGAGGCCTGAAAAACATTAAAAAATGGACGCCAAAACCCTAATACATGAGAGTAGGAAAAAGATAAGGGTTGTTAACCTACCGAATGCCTATTGTGATCATCTCACCTGGATGCTAAAATGGCAGCTCTTCTCGAAGGTGAGGACTTGGGGAGCATGGTTTTTGATCGAACGGCGATGAATCTGGCGCCGGACACGACTGAACGGCAGATCGATGACATTTTACTAGATCGGCGACTTCCTTTCTTTCCTGCCTTAAACCCTAGCAGAAGAGCAGCTTTAAAAGGCGGATTTCGCTTAAATCTTGACACACAAAATTTGATGCTCAAATCCAATACTCAATTAAACTGAATTTTATGTGTCTATATTTTTAAATTCAAATTGTGGAGTAAATATTACATCATCATAAATATGAATTTAATGATATTATG